TAGCACCCACCACCCGATTCTGGAAGCTCTGGGACACTCGTTCGATGTCCGTGGCCGTTTAGGCACGTGGACAGCCGAGTGCACGACTCGGCGCCGAGGATGCCGTGCCTCTCACCGGCCAGACAGCGACCTTGACCCCCCTTTCTCGTGACACCCTCCCAGGTATGGATGCAGGTCGGCGAGGACATTGGTGGTGCTGGGTGGCCGTTCACATGAGCAGACATGGCATCTTCTCCACTGCCGCTGCTCCAACCGCGACGATCGAGCACGGGGGGCTTGCCAAACCGATCAAGCAAGTGCACCAGGTCTAGATTGTCCATACACCACAGCCTGTGGACGGTGGGTGGTACACAATGGGGCTCGGTTGGTCGAGAAGTGATGGGGTCGAGTCGTGTGCGCCACACGTTTCGGTGGAGAAATAGCCTGCGTGCGTGTTGTCATGATGCCCGGGGCACGTTTGAATCGCAAGGGCTGGCTCGTCGTGCAGGAACGCCACGTGGTTGAACAAACTCAACCGAACGGTCGTGATTCCGCCATGGCCACGATCGCCACACTTGACCGAGATGAGGCAGTCGGTGCTGCGTTGGCACACCATGGGATGTACTTTGTACCGCGGATGGACGTCATAGACAAAGTAGACACTTCCACCCACATGCCGGTCGTTTTCGCCCGAGAGACGGCGATCCTGTCGTCGTGGGCTGCACAACGTGGCCAGTCGAAGCTTCCAGTCGAGCCACGTTGGCGTCCCAAGCGTCGGGCGATGGGCTTGTCCCGACGATCGTTTTCGGTGGACAGCCAAGGTCACGCATTCGACGCGGCCGCGCCTCGACCATTTGTTCACCCAGGGCTGCATCAACCCATACGTGAGCGGCAACGTGCCCAAAACAGACGCCGTCGCGACGCATGCTACGGCAATCGAGGATGTGTCAGCACGAGCTGAACCCACGACGCGACGGCCCACTTACCTGCAGTGACGTCGATGCCAGAGTCTTGGTCCTTTGGCAGCTGGATCGACCACATGATGTAGAACAGCTTGGCCGCGTACGTATTGCTCAGCACATAAAAGACAGGGCCAACGTAGCATGCAGCTGCGAGGGCCAAGATGCCCGAGTCGACGGGGGCGACCCGTCGATTCAAACGAAGCCGCTTCATCACGAACATTGCGACTTGCAACGCACAGTACCCAAACCACACCTACACGTTCGGTTGAGCAGCGACAGAGTGGGGGGGGGCACGACGCACGACGCGCGAGCCGTAGAGGCACCCGAGGCAAAATTGTCCGAGGTCTTCAACCTGGCTCACGCGAGCGCAGGCGAGACCAATGTATTCCGCGCCACAGACGAAATCCAGGGCGAACATGGCGCCCACGAATGGATGGCAAAACACAATCGACGACGGATCGCCGACGTGGAAGCAAATCGTCGTGTGGGGCGCGAGGAGACATCGCGGGGACATTTGCGCCTGTAGCATCGTTTGGACATCTAAGTTGCGCCACAGCGCCACGACGTGCTTGAAGTAGTGACGCCAAGTGAAATGCACCATGAACGCCACCAAGAACCACCGCGCCCACCATTTGGACCATGTCCATGCAGAGGATTCGCGGTTGTGCGTCCCAAGATACGCCAGCGGCACAGGCGTCAGGGAAGCGTCGTTGGGTGGAAGCAGTTCAAACCACAGACAGATGTCGGCGATCACGCTGCCCGCCATCCGTGCTTGACAGCATTGAGAGCTGTGGGCATAGTCTCGGTCGGAAGCATTTCGCGCAAGGATGTCACACACAAAGCGGCGCATGTTTGGAGCGTAAAACACCGCCGCTACGTTTGTGAGGAGAAACAGAGTTGTCGCGGAACACACACACACCTGGAAACGCCTGCAAGACAAGGTCGATGCAGTCGGCGGGTGCGATGGCATGCAGGGGAAGCGCAGCCAGCGACGTCCGCAGCGTGTAGGTGGGCCCTCGGCGAGCAAACGTCCAGTTCGTTGGGGGCGACGAATCCATGTGACTGTTGTAGATTGCGCGAAGGGCCGCCGTTTGCTCGGTGGCGTTGGCGCTGATCGCCAGAGGGACATCCCATGGCAAGGATTCGGACAAGTAGGCTTTCAGCGGCTACAGACACGGTCAGCTCTACCGTGGTCAGCAGGATATGCAACCGCAGTAATTAAGTTGATGGTGAACAGGACGCTCCACAGCAGCGATCCCTTGGCCAGACGGACGACGGGCGGACGCACGCGGACTGGTGTAGTTGGACGGCTAAGTTTCGTTGAGTTGTCCTCGACCATACGGGACACAAAGGACAGCCTTGCTTTAGACACGCGTCGTGACGGAGCAACCCTCCGATCTGCTAATTTTAGACTTCCCAGAACTCGCGCGACGTGCCCAGCCGACGGCGCGTTGGCCGACACGTGCTGCTGCCATGTGGCGGATTTCAGCGGCGGCTGACATCGTCCTCGACTAGTTGTCCATGTGGACTGGGTTCTTCTCTGTCAACGTGATCGTCGCGGTTGTGCCTGCTGCTTCAAGCGTGACTGTAGCCTCGGATGGCTGACGTGTCTTTCCATGGGGTGTTTTACCTACCACGAGCACCGATATGACCTCGACTATAGACAACCCTCGCGCAACAGACATCAGCCACAACAATGCACAATCGTACGCAAGGTGGAGGGTTTGCTCGACTAGGGCCGACACATGCCCTTCGAACGTTGCTGCCTCGCGTAGCTATCTCTTCGCCGACTGCGCGCCTCCTCCATTCGTTTCCACGTGAATGGACAAGGCGCTCCTATTTCAAATGTCCACGTACCCCAAGGTCTTGGCGACCGTGTTTCATAGACCACGACTGCGCCGCTTTGTTGGTGGTGCGATGGCCCGGAATGCATCGGATCGAGACTTCGTCCATGCGTGTCAGGGCCAACACGTGCGGGCGGTGTAGCTGCCGTCGACGCGTGCATGTGGTTGGACCTCCTGCCATTCCATTTGTCGAGCGAAGTTGTGGCAAGTGAGTCGGCGCGTCGTGCATTACAACATGCGCACATTGGCGCAGTCAACCGTGCATCCCGCGCATTGTCGTGGGCAAAATGGCACGGCTATTATAAGCACATTGTCCAGCTGTGGCGAGACTTGCCAACTTGTTTGGTCTTCACAGTTGAAGACCCGTCTTTCGACACTCCACGAAACCCTTCGTCGATTGAAGTTAGCAGCCCCATGGTGGGCGGTATGTCGACTTTACAGCGGAATCGACTGCATTCGCCATGCTTTCGTCCGGGTGAGCCAACTCGCTGGGCAGTTTGACCTCAGCTGTCTCTACGAGTCGCGCGACGTAAACGAGCCGTCCGCAATGAACGTCGTTGCCGTGATGAGATTGGCTTCGCGTATGTGCGTTGTTCGTGCACAAGGCGTGCTGGGCGAACATCCCGGTTGCCGCGGTGGATGCAGGGCATGTGGCCCAAGCTGCAGGAGTCCGGACCAATCGACTTCGTATTTGCTATGACACCCATTGTCTCGCTGGTTCACTCGCTGAGGACATTCCGGTCGACCGAGCACCGCGTGATTCAGACGACGACATCACAGGAGGCGAGATACACCCCATCGTTCATCTCGAGCATCGACCATCGCGTCGCGTATGCAGCATCGTGACCTTGTCTATGCTTGGAACACTACTGCCGTGTTATTCGTTTGTCGTGCCACGTTTGAGACAATGGTGGGGTGGAACCGACCGTTTTGCCATGTGAAAGGCCACCAAACGTTCGTACAATGATCTGGACGCCCTCGTTGGATCGAAAGCATCGCCTCGCGACGTGGTGGACGTGTCACCGACGGTGCCATGACAGCGATGTCGAAAGTTAATCGAGAATGAGTGTGTACCGCGTATATACCAAGCACCCTCGACGCAAAGCTGTCTCGGTGATGGGTCCACGAAGCGCCGACTGTCACGACCAGTCACACATGTCCACCCTTTGCTTGAGCTTACTTGATTTTGTCGACTGCCAACGGCCCGACTCAACCCTCGCGACTGCAGCAATCCGTTTGTTGAATCCTTCGCAGTCAAACGTGTAAACAGGAGGACCTGGAGGCGCAGCATGTCGTCGTGTACCGTCGTTCTGGCGTCCCATCCGTCGTGGGCACTCGGACAAGGTAGCAGCCCTCGTCCGCTGTCGAAGTCCTCGTCAGTTGGGTGCCGTAGCAGTGTTAGTCGAACCGCTGGACGCACCAACACGATTCAACGAGTCACCAGAGTGCAATGCGTTTGGCTGCAAATCGAATCGTTCGTTGCCTCATTCGTCGTCCCCTATTTTGGTTTGTACGAAGCAGGTCCTGACGAGAGCGATAGCTGCGCCAGCAGTAGCGGCAAGTGGGGCGTCGCTGCCATTCCACTTGTGGTTCTCGCCACCACGAACAGAATGGCAGTGGTCGCCTATGCACAACATCAACATCCTGTTGTGCATAGACGACCTTTGCCATCCTGTTGCAAGCACACTACCATGATACACGCTGGCGTGACTGTCTTGAATGCACCACGCGACTGGAAATGAAATTTGCCGTGTGCATGAAGTCTCTTGTCTGGGCGCGCCTCAAATTTTACCGCATTGCTCTGGCGGTTGTAACACGTGTCTCGCTTCTGCAATGAATGCTCGACTATCCGGGGCCTCCGAAGCGTGTGCGTCTGGAATGACGAGCAAGTGCCTTTTGCGACGCTCTAAGGCCAAAGTATGGATGGGCTGGACGCGCACTCGATCTTGCTATCGTGCTTGGCATCGCTCCTTGGCCCATCTCGCCTGACGCTCTTGGTGCAACCTTGAACTTGAACGGCGTATTCGTATGTTGTTGGGTTGTGATTATCCGGATGCCACACATGCTAGCATGGCGCCGCACTTCTACAACTCTCACACGCGACACAGCTGCGAGGACCAAGCCACACGCAGCCCATTCCGTATCTGCAGCTGCGATCGAGAAGACGATGCCGCCGCGACGACCTGCCGAAGGCCGCCGATCTGCAAACTACCAACAAGGTTCGACGTCGACAGCAAACGGAGGCACGCCCATGGATCGCCCGTCTCGTCGTCAGCCCACCGGTGGCCGTCGGTCGCGCCAGCCTCAAGGCGGTAGCACGCACCACGCGGCGTCGGCAGCAGCGTCTACGTTCTCAGACTATTCGTTTGACTATAGCTACGGGACGGACAGCATTCCACAGCCCCCCACGAGCATTCCGACGATCTTGAATAACGTGGCACCAATCTCGGCCAAAGACGCGTCCGTGAAGAGCTCGACCATGGCGATGCTGCTCAACTCGACCTTTACAATCGACGACGCCTTCCGCGCCATTGAACGAGCCACTCAAGCGGAAGGCGACGGACGATTCCGTGAAGCGCTCAAACACTTTTTGGACGGCGGCGAAATGATCGTGTCCGCCGCGGAGCGCGAAGCCAGTCAAAAGGTCCGGAACTTACTCTTGCACAAGGGAAAGGAAGTCCTGGAATGGGCCGAGCATCTGGCTGAGTGGATCGAACGGTACCAGAGCCACAGCGCCCCGCTACGTGTCGCCAAGCCGATGGCAGTCGAAGTGACGTACGATCGGTCGCTCAACTCGCCCGAACTGGACGCGTCCGAAGCGCGCACGATGGTGTATACGCCCGTGTGCTGCAATGCCAAGGCGTTTACCGAGTCGGGGTACCGTCTGCAATGCATCCAAAGTGGCCGCCGACCCAAGCTCATGGTTGTGATCACCATGTACAACGAAGACGCGTCGGAACTTCGATCGACGCTGCGCAAGGTGTGCAACAACGTGTACTACCTCAAGCAGCGCAGTTTGCCAGGGTACGAAGGCGACGACGCGTGGAAGCAAGTGCTTGTGGTCGTCGTATCGGACGGCCGCACCAAAGCCAACAAGGGAACGCTCGACTGGCTCAGCAGCGTCGGCCTGTACGACGACGACGTGATGAACATTACGTCGACCGGCGTCCGTGTCAAGTGCCACCTCTTCGAACACTCGCTGCAGTGGACGAAAGAGGACAAGAGCATTCGGTTCCCGCCGCTTCAAGTCGCGTTTGCACTCAAAGAGGCGAACGCGGGCAAGTTGGACTCGCACCTGTGGTACTTTGACGCGTTCTGCGAGCAAGTCATGCCCGACTACACCGTGTTGCTGGATGTGGGGACAATGCCGACCAAGAGTTCGTTCTACAAGCTCTTGACAGCGCTCGAAATCAACGCTCAAATTGGCGGCGTGTGCGGCGAAATCGCCGTCGACCAGCCGATCCCGCACATGTGCAACTGGGTCGTCGCCGCCCAGCATTTCGAGTACAAGATCTCCAACATCTTGGACAAGTCGCTCGAGTCGTGCTTTGGCTTCATATCGGTCCTCCCCGGCGCGTTCAGTGCGTATCGGTACAAGGCGATTCGAGGCGAGCCTCTCCAAGCGTACTTTAAGTCCCTGACGACGTCCATGGGCGAGCTCGGTCCGTTTGCCGGCAACATGTACCTGGCAGAAGATCGCATTCTGTGCTTTGAGCTGCTCGCTCGAAAGGGATGCAAGTGGACAATGCACTACGTCAAAGACGCGATCGCGCGGACGGACGTCCCGACCAACCTGATCGACCTCATCGGCCAGCGACGCCGGTGGCTCAATGGCTCGTTCTTTGCCACGCTCTTTAGCATTTGGAACTGGGGCCGCGTGTACTCGGAGAGCAATCACTCGGTGGCGCGAAAACTCGCGCTCCTGTTGTTGTACGTGTACAACATCCTCCAAGTCGTGTTTTCGTGGTTCTTGCCGGCCAACTTTTACCTGGCGCTGTACTTTGTCATTTTTGAAGGGTTCCAGCAAAACCGGTGGAACTTTATCGACACGTCCGAGGTGTCGCCATTGATCCGCGACGGCGTCCCGACCGTGTTCAACGCCCTCTACGCCGTCATTGTGTTCACCCAGGTCGCTGTCGGCCTCGGCAACAAACCCAAGCACGTCCGCGCGACGCACTACTTTATGTCGTTTGTGTTTGGCGTCGTCATGTTGTTGTCGTCGGCGATTGCAATTGTGATCTTTATCAACGCGAGCAAGAGCGTCGAAGCGATTGTTCTGGCGGTGCTCATCCTCGGCACGTTCTTTGTCGGGTCCGCGCTGCACTGCGAAGTACACCACATCGTGCTCGCGTTTGTCCAGTATACGGCGATGCTCCCGAGTTTTGTCAACATCTTGATGGTGTACTCGTTTTGCAACCTCCACGATTTGAGCTGGGGAACCAAGGGCATCGACTCGGGAGGACATGGAAGCGGCGGCGGCGGCGATGTCGTCGGCCAGTACAAGGACGTGGTAGCCAAGCGCAAGGCCCTCGAAGCAAAGAAAGCCCAGGAGGCGGCTGCCCAAGACGAACTCAAGAAACGATTTGACGCGTTCCGCACCAACTTGTTGCTTCTGTGGGTTTTCACCAACATGACGTTCGTTGTACTTGCCGTCGCGTCCATCGGCGCCGATCGGTACCTCCCATTCCTCTACTTTTTCGTGGCTGCGTTCAACGCGGTCCGACTTGCGGGGTGCGTCGGGTACTTGCTCTACTACGCGCGGCAATTCTTGATCTTCAACACGTTGAGCGCTACGGGGGCGCTACACAAACGCCATGAAGCCCGAAAAGCCCATCAAGACAGCCACGTCGACGTCGAACTCGGGACGATGGAAGGCCTGACAACAACCAACGACTCGGACGGCGTGCGGCCGACTGGCGCCCTTCCAAGCACGACCCCCGCTGTACAAAATGCATACACTCGCATGCGTTAACAGACTTGAATTTCATTTGCGGCATTGCATACACTTCATTTTTTCCAGGTGGCGCATAGCATAAGAGGCCATCTGGCGAACGTGCGGGCCCTTCACACGTGGAATCGTCCTGGAGCTCACCCGACCAGGTTGACACGCAGGGTGAACAAGGGAATGCGATGGACGGCCTCGACGCGATTCTCTTTGATCCTATGGAGGGGGAGTCGCAACATGCCCCCGACGCTCCAGTGGGAATGGTCTGTCGCGTGGGGTTACGTCGCAATGTTTGGCTTGGAGTGCATCCAGTCGCCAAGTCCACCAACTCAAAGGATGGCAGATGCACTCCCGTTGTGCGAGTTGTGTGATGCAACCCTGGAGCTTACTCCTCCACGAGCGTATACGCTACAGTCACACGAGCTTGATCAGGTCTCGCTGGTGTCCCGATGAAACCTGCCGACGCCTCAGGTGTGATCTCTCACCTGGGGCTGGTGTTTCTCTCTCTAGTGCGCGCACCTTCTACCTCGATCGGGCGCGGTGACGCCCCCGATCTCCCCAACCGCGCCCTGGCACTCGTCCTGCCGCTGCTCGCCACCACGTCAGTGGGCCTGTCGAGCTCGAGCCCCTCCTTCGTCAACGCACACTCAACCTGTCGGGCGCGTGGCTTTCTTCACGTGCCAATTCACATCGACCCGTTCGTTTCGCGTCGAGCATTCGGACTGCTCTTCTATTTCGAGACGGTCTGTCCGTTTTTCACACAGCGCCACACGCTGCCGCGGCACGTATGACCAAGGTGCACATTCTCCCTCCAACGAGGAAGGCGGCCAGCAGCGATTCACGTCGCGCGTTTCGAGTGTCGTACCACACGGTGTCCGTGCTTCTCAACGTCGTATTTGTCGTGAACCTCGCCAGCACAGTACGTCGACACGATATGCGTCGACGTTGTTTCATGTCTGTAGCCGTTGCTCGCGTATATCTCGGAGCCATTTCCGTGGAGCGAGTCGTGGCGGGCCCAGGACGACCCCCAGACCGCAGAAGCCCTCGATTCCATGCACACTTCGGTCATGACGACGCTCCGATCCGTCTACAACAACTTGACCATGCCCGACGATGTGGTGTGTTTGAACAACGACGCTACCAGCAGCCATGTGGCTCGGCGCATCCTCGCGATTGTACCAGCATCAGCGCTCGAGAATGCGCCGTTCCAGCAATTCAACATCCTTGTGTCGTTCCCTGGTGCGACGCTACAGTGAACACAGTTCCTGACCTGGTTGTGACAGGGGCTATATTCTATGGCGCGGGCATACGCGAGTTCATCTACGATTTCCTTGCTGCCAACGACACGACGAGGCAGACAGCGCGATGGTCTCGGTGCCAACATGTCCGCTTTCTCACCATCCTCATGTCCGAGGCATGCACGTGGATCGAACCACACGTCGAGACCGCTGCGCGAGTCGCGGCCAACTCGTCCCGTCCCGTCGAGTCGACGGCACCCGCTCGTTTTATCGTCTACCATGGGGTCGTGCGGTTCGAGGCGGCGAGTTGGTCTTGGTTCAAGTTGGTCTACCGGGTGTTGCTGACGCTGTACGTGCTATGGACGGTCTGGTCCAAGTACTACCGCCATGTTCGCACGCTCTACGCGCAACTCGAGACGCTGGGCTTGATGGGGGCGAGCGCATGCACGCACTTTTGCATCCTCGTCGGCGACCCCACCGCCCTCGTCGTGTCCAGCCCAGTTGTGGCGGCTGTGATGGTGTTTGACATTTGGATCAACCCAGTGTTTTTGTCGATGGCCGCGATGCGCGTGGGGCAGTTCACCGACCCGTATATGTTTTTATGGGGCTGGATGTACTCGTCTCGAAACGTACGCGTCGTTGCAGTCGCCACCAGTCGCCACCCACTCCCGTTTTGTAGATGTGGTGCGCCTTCCTCGCGATGCAACTCCTGACCCGCCTCATCAAGCGATGGAAAGTCGAGGCCAAGTTTTGTCCGGTGGATCCTGTTGTCCTGACGATTGCCGCGTACTGCTATGGCGGTCCTGTCGTGACCATGTGCGCGACGACGCCCGCCATGGTCATGTTTCACTTGAACTGGGGCCATTTCGTCCCGGCGGCGGAAAAGTTTGAAGCGATCGAGTGCCTTGTGGGTAGGTTGCGCGAGGAAGAGTCGGGGCTGGCTAAGGCCACGATGGATGTGTAGGACTCATTGTGGTGTCGTCCCTGATGTCGTCGTTGCCGATTCTGTATTCCGCGACACTGGCGCATCGCCGACGGACGGCACGAGGCCCAGCACTGCTTGCGGCATCGTCGTCCACCCGCGTCATGCAGAATCGACACGCAGACGACAGTGTCTTTAGCCACATAGCTTTCAACGACCTCAAGTTGAAAGTGTTGTACTCGTGGACATTGCCACCGGTCATACGGAATGCCACCCGACGACCCGTTGCGACTGGCGACGCCAACACGTCGGTCGTGTATCGTCGGCGAGGGGGGTCGCTCCATCGACTCGTTCACGACAATGCGAGGTACCACGCCGCACCGCTGTTCAGTCTCTTGGCCATCGACGTGTTCGTGCTCTGTGTTCCAGAGTCGTCGGACGATGGTTCCGATTTCACTGCGCCGTCCGATACGCCCCCTCAACAACACTTTCGCTTGAGCTTGTTGTCGACGCTGGACTTGCAGCCGTCTGACTCTGACATTGCCATCACGGTGTGCCGCAAAGACCATCGGAAAAGCATCAACACCCTCGGGGATGTCGACGATTGCTCCGCGACTCAAGTCGCGACAACATTGCACTGCCTCCACCCAGGAACGTCGCCGTGGCTCCTGTGATATGGTTTCGGCTGAAAACCTGCACAAGGCAGCAAACGCAAACGTAAAGGCGCGACTTGGTCGTGGTGGTGGACTCCAACATGAACAGCCAGGGCCTGGCAGCTGAGTTCGCACGTCGCAAGAGGCCACCAACCTACGCCCAAACCGAGCTCATACCAGCCAGCCATCGTGGCGCGATTGAATTGCGACGGATTGACTTGGGGTGTCGATGGCGGCGCAATGTCGAACAGTGGAATCCCCCGAGCTGTGGCGAACTCGCGCCAACAAACATGAACGCGTGTACACCATGACGTTCTCCACACACTGAGCACAGAGAAGCATGGGGTCTCTCTGCATGCATGGCGCACAAGGCCATCATCTCCTTGACACCTCTGGGTGATAATCGACAGACATGTATGCATTCAGATCTCTCGTAGCGCCCGACTACAAAACCACGTGAATCCGATGCGCAAGGAATGTCGCACACACGACGGAACACGTTCCGAGAATGTGAACTACGTAGCGCGCCGTGCACCCGACCTGCGACAACGCCGGAACTGGACGGGATTCGCGTCGAATGCCGTGTTGAAGAAGTTCACATCGGTGACAGCCACACTGTTTTGCGCACCAACGCAAAGTCGACGTGGCATTCCACGGCGCAAACGCATCATGGAGTACCAGTAGCCAGCAATACAAGTTGCTCGATGGGCAGCAGAAAGCGGTTTGCGCCAAGTCGGACGATCCGCAACCTCCTCACGCATCTCCCCACGACGTGGACCCGGGGGACACACGCAATGGCAACTATCACACCACATGCACATCGCAGAATGGCCGAGGGGGCGAACTGAGCCTTGGCATGGATCTATGATCATTTTCATGCACCATGGCCGACAAAGGCACCACTGTAGCCACCACCAGGCATCGTCAAACCTCACGTAACTTCACCACGGTGATGGCGCTTATAACTTCATGTAGTGCCACGGACTTGTGGCCACGTATAATCACTCGAGTGCTAAATGCCGACAAGACAATGCCACGAATACCTGTTCGTCGCCAACACTTCACAACAGCCATACATGCTGCCTACGCGGCGTCTCTACAGCAGCAACCACTTGCATGGCTTCATCGAGTCTGTCATGGCGGCGTGCCACTACAAAGTGGACCTGCGCCAACGCGTTCTGAAGCTCACATGGCTTCACCTTCGCTTTGAAGGAGGGGACACTTCCTGTGTCTCGAATGCACGGTTGGAGGGCGGGCGATTTGGCACCTCGATCTGTTGGAACGATTTGAAGAGTCCGCGGGTTGGGATATCGTCGCGCCTAAGGACTTTTCCGATTGCCGATTTGTTCATGCAGCCGATACTCTTTTGCAGCCCATCGAGCAAACTCGTAGTAGGCTGCATGGGGATGTCCTTGGACGCTTCTCGAGCAGCACGTTCGAGCGCGTCGTTCGCAATTTCAACGATTTGGAGATGGCATGCATCGACCAGCTGCACGTCCATGTCAATTGGCACCACCGTCTCCATGGGGTTTCCATCCATGTAGAGGGTCTTGCGCGTGAGGAGACAACTTGTGCAAGAGCTCGAGCATTAACGCAGCAGCATTCGTCAAGAGTGACACGGTCAGGAGCGTGGGATGTGGTACAAGCTCGACCTGGTACCTCGGGCACTCGAGTGTGGGCCGTCTCGAAAGTCGTTGCTGTCGACAAGCTCAGCACAAACGACGACGGGGCGGCCGTGAGACTCGAAGTTGAATATGTGTCAACGCACTCGAAAATCGAGTGGTTGTTCGTCCGGGACATGCTTGGAGGAAAATACCGCGCAGGATGTGGGCGTTTGTGGCAGCCACGGGCAGGCGAGGGATGTTTTTTTCGACCAAGCTCATCACCAACATGAATCAAGGATGGTCCAGCAGCGTCACGTTCCACTCGACCGTGTTACAAGGCGAGGGGCTCCGTGCAGGCCCCAACTTCGAAGCAGGCGCGTCACGAGCCAAGGGACGGCGGCAGGCACAAGCCACCAGCGTCGTGGGGTACGTCCTACAGTACACATGCCCAATGCGTTCGTTGGTGCGTGAGAGAGCGTGCGTGATGCAGGGTACGAGCTTGCGTTTCACGGTAGCTTTCGCTATTGCTGTTCTTTCTGTTCATGCACGCGGCTCGTGGCGGAATCGACGAAAGGTGACGTTGTGTAGAGACATCCTCCACGGCTGATCGAGATTCCTTTTTCGGCTTCGTTGGTCGAGTCCCTTGACAACGAATCATTGCCATCCTTGGTATCGCCAACGAGCGACTGGGCGTCGCGAGGAGCTCCTGTTCGCCGTTGGCTCCGCAGGTTATCTCTGTTCGCGTGTGCCAACAATTCACTTGCCACCTTTCACAAAGGCATTTCCGCCATGTACCAAGCGATACACAGCAGCGACATGATGCCGCCCCCGGTATGGTCCAAGAAAGACTCAACATCGTTAACCTTGGTGCGTCAAGAATCCCACGATACCCCCGCCGAGGAGCTCACGGGAAGTCGGTTCCGACAGCTCACACGTATTGCAAGGTCCCCAGGTAAAGCGCAGGCAACGACCAAGAATCCCTCCCCCCTGCATGGCATGCTTGACGCTGTCTGTCGCGTCAGACAGACGTGTTTACGTCGTCAGCAGCGTGACTTCGTCCATGACGTTTTCGGCGCAGAATCGGTGCCGCATGCGCCGGAGAAGGAGTACAGCCTGCATGCGTTGCTGCGAGATGTAAACGCTCACGCGTCGCTTGTGGACACGAGTTAATGCACGCCATCAAACTTCTGGTTGTGTTGTCAACCGTTTGCAATTCACTTCCATGGCAAAACTACCCGTGGCAGAACGCGCGAACCGTGCAGGCAACAATTGGGAAATGTGTCAGTACACTGCTCTTCTTAGCATCTGTGTCGCCGATGGGTGTATTTGGATCGAAAAGCTTGCCAACTACTCGACTCCCGAGGTCGAGTCGTTCGCCGTGGCATGTGCTGTGTAGTTATCGCCATGTGCAAACTCATGAAACACTATCTCTGTCCGCGTGAGGTACAATGCGCAGCGACGGCATGGACGGATGTGCTGCTAGCCGCCGGTGCTTCGTCGCTCGGGAGGATGGACGGCTTGAAAGTTGCAGTCACAGCATCCATCGTTTGGAAAAATGTCCCTGTCGATCCTTGTGGAGGAATCGTCAGCGTGGCGCGGCTGCACTTTGCCCCCCCGCAGCATGTCCCTGCTTGTCCGCACCGGTTCCAGCCAGCATGTCCTGCCCGTGCCCACAAGGCAGAAGCGACATCGGCGGGGCATCCCCACTGATATTCGTCGCGTGCATATGTCCATGCCAGTCGAGATAAACATGTCTCGGTGCCCCTCCACTTACTGCGTCCATGGCATGTCCGCCGCCGAGCCGCTATCGCGCAGGACAATGCCTCATCGATCGTACGGTGTGCCCGTCTCCATATTTCTTCGGCGTCATCGACCTCATGCGCTCCCCGACGGGTGAACTCAATCCTTGGACGATCGACAGATGCAGAAACATCGTTGATGTGTGACGTTATAACGTGCATGCGACGCAGTGGGCGAACGACAACGGGTGCACTGCCCTCTCCTCCTCGATGCTCCATCAGCCACATGATGCAATGTCACGAACGGAGTATTCTCCAACACAAGGGTAGCCTTGCCAAACTGAAGTCGTTGCGCTGGCGACGGAAAGGGTACGACATGGATTCTCACCCAGTCGAGCGTTGCGGATCACGATCTGCACGGATCGACCTGTCGAACGTCACCACATCACGGGGGCAGGCAGCTTGCGCCTCGGCGCCATCGCAAACGAGTCCACCGTCAAGCTGAGCTCGCTTGGATGAAGCGGTGTTTCGAGAAAACACAGGATCTACTCTGTGGCTGCGGTATTCGTTCGATGGCGCTCTGTGGCACGTGTCTCGCCCAACGTGCTTGAATGCGACTCGTGCTCGTTGCTCATCTTGAGCCCGTCATGAAGAAGAAGGCCGACGTGTATGCTCGGCATGTTTGAGATGTGCATTTGCAGCATATGGATAGCTTGAGTGGGTTCCCGCAACTATCGCCCGTGTCACGGCGCATCGGACCTTAGTTATCGAGGGCCTTACGGCCGAAAGCGAGTGATGGCGACGAAGCGAAGCTTTCAAACGTGGCAGGCCAACAACCTTTCAGACCATCG